TCCTTTAACACTATGACAAGAAGAAGCATACCTTCTTTTGGATAATATGTTTAAGAATATACTTCTCTTTGTCCAACAGCTGCAAATTACTCTGTGTCCCAGGTTGGACAATTCCAACATTTATCACAAAAGTTATACTCTCCTGTTGACATAAAAGACAAATGTTTGACAATTCAAATAAATGTAATGTCAGAATATATAATTGTATAATTTATTGTACAATTTATAATACAATTTATTAAACAAAAATATTCTTAAAAACACATATATTTTATACTCTACGCTGTATTCTAGCATGTAGTTTCAAATCATCGTCTTATCGTGCAAGAGTGTGTTTGTTAGACTCTTTAACAAATTTAAAAAATATTAAACTACAACCTTTAATTTTGGTGGCATTTTTGCGTTATCAAAGACACTGGAAGACACTTGCAGACATTCGGGGTTTCCAGCAAGAATAAACTCTTTTAATTCCTGAAACTTGTGTTCAACACATCAGGCGCGGGCAGCTTCATTCAAATCTCCAATCAATATTTCCAAATCAAATGGTCGCGTTCAGCAGACTCAACTGTTGTGGAGCAGATCCGTGAGCACTTGCTGCTATTGGTGTATTCTTCTTAGATCATCCAATAACAGCGAGCGCTCACGAATCCGCTCCACAACAGTTGAGTCTGCTGAACGCGACCAATCTCAAAAACGAACGTAACCTAACTTACGTGTCACCTGAACGCGGCTTCTTTCTAGTACACGGCCACAGTGGCCACACACCTATAAGTACGTCTTTTTCTTGTTTTGGTTTCCCCTTGATTGGTTTTCCGACTCAAATTTAGAGTCACAGTACCATGCAAAAATAACGGATCTTTTGATCCAATGAATAACCTCTTCAGGGAGCAGAGGTCTCAAATCATAAACATATTATTTATTTTTTTAAAGGATTATTATCAGAAGGAAACTTTTTTGGTAATGAATCCTTAGATGTTAAACTGCTATTAATTTCTTTGTGATATTTAATCAAGGTTCCACATCTAGGGCAACTAATAACGAATGTATCCATTGTGTAAGGCGTGAAGAGGAAAATTGAATTGCCGCCTTATGCCTCGAAAGGAGAAGGAATCTCCTTGTAGGAAAGGAACGAGATCCGAAGGGACCGATGATATGGCGTCTCTCAGGATCGTAAGGATAATCTGAGTGTCAGGACAGGATTATCTGCACGAGCTAAGGAATAGCTTAAGGAAGGGCGAAGAAATAGGCTCTTGTACTTGGTATAAGATATCACACACGGTTTATTCCGACTTCACGTCGGACTCACACGTGTCGAGATTCAAACAGAACTTAACTTCTCTACAGGGCCTCCCAACTCCCCTCTTGTAAACGCGGTACCACCGTTAGTGGCGCCCTCAGCTTATGACACCCGGAAAAATAGAACTAATATTCAATATGGCCGCTATATATATAGGTTGTCATGGCATATATATATCATATATAGGGTGTCTGATCCAGTTTGATCACCCGCAATCAGGATGCACTACAAGATCAAGCGTTTTATTCCGAATTTACCGATTTCGGTAGATTCGGAATAAAACGCTTGATCTTGTAGTGCATTCTGATTGTGGGTGATCGCGAGTTATTATCTAAGGTCTCAGTTGAAAATTAAATATCTATATATACATATGTTAATAATTTTTTTATTTTAATTTCTTTATTATATAAAGATATAAATATTTTGATATAAATATTTTCGTTTGCATCCCTGAGTTTGCATCCAAACTCATACGGATCTAGTACATCTGTAAAGATTTATTTTAAATTTACTTGAATGGATCCTACTCCACGGATGTAGTCTCTTTTATCACAGTCTGTGTCTCTTCTCCTCTGGGATCCCTTTTACACCGTTTGGTACGCGTATCTAATTTAGAGTACTTCTTTGACATTTTTTTCGCTTCATTATACATGTAATTATTTTCATAGTCCTCTTGTAGTTTTCCATTTAATATATGTTCGACATTCATACCATCCGTGTATTGTGGTATATGTTCGACATTCATACCATCCGTGTGTTGTGGTATATGTTCGACATTCATACCATCTGCATGTTGCAGTACATTTATAGATGGAATAGCATTTCGTTCTAAAGTTCTTCTTGTTGGAGAATTAGTGTAATCTTCATTACGAAAATGCTGATAGCAAATTCTTAATTTTTTAAGTTCTTTTTCGTCCTCTATTACTTTCATGTTCAATTCCTTAAACCATTGCTTGTGGCGTTCAATATCTTTTGGAAACATATGAGATGGAACGTTTTGTCCCGACAAACATCCCGGGATACAACAGGCTCGCACCATCTTAAGTTCTAATATTACAATATTACTATATCAGTTGTTTATACAAAATTATTATGTTTTTTTTACTGTATACTCACGTGTATTGTTCGTGATCGCTCTATGGAGAGAGAGGGATGAAGAGGGAGATAGAGACACTTAAACAGACTCTTAGAGATATTTAAACTCGAGTCGTCCACGCAAACACACCAAAACACACGTGAACACCTTGTGACACCTTGTAGATAACGCGTCCATATTGATTTTAACAGTCATATTGAATATTAGTTCCATATTTC